GGGACCTGGGGAGACCAGAGACAAGGGCACGGGAGGCCATACCTCGAAGACGAGGCAGGGAGGGGTGACCAAGGCGGTGGTGCCAAAGGAGAGTCTCGTGCGACAGAGGACGACACGAGCAAGGGGCAGACACAGGACTAGACCTGGACGCGGCAGCAAACACCTGACTAGACGCAGCTACCTGACCAGACCCAGGGACCGGAGGAGGCGCAGTAGTCAGTGTGTACAGACTCGACCCTGGCCGACGGGTGAACGTGGCCAGGTGGCGGCCCGTCCGAGAGCAAGTGCAGTGGGTCACACGCTGACCTCCAGGGGTGAACTGGTCAACCCACGCGTCCTGGAGGTCAGCTCCACTCACCAAGTTCGTAGAGAACGAGGGGAGGTGGAGTCCCGACAGCAAGCTCGACGGGGCTGCAGGACAAGGTAAAACTGTAGAGGAGTGTACAAGGACTGGGCCCCCTGAGGGGTCAGCAAGGGAGACCGCAACAGGCCAACTGAGCGGCGTGAGCATGGTGCTGTCTCTAAAGAAAGAGCGCGAAGCACCAGAGTCAAGTGTGAAAGTGTGCAGGGACTCAGTAGGTGCAGTACTCGAGAGAGTAGACGTACCAGCACCTGGAGCAGCAGACGCACAAGTACCTGGAGCAGCAGACGCACTAGCACCTAGAGCAGCAGCCGCACTAGCACCTAGAGCAGCAGCCGCAGTGCCCGGGTCGGGCGGGACTCTCAGGTAACAGTCACCCTCAGTAATATCAGCAAGAGCATACATGGCAGCAAGGATGGCATCAAAATCTAGATCAAAGATAGGCACATTCTGCAGAAGCAGATCATGCCACCGAGGGAGCTCAACGGCGTCAGGAAACTGGGTACGCCATGCGTCAGTCAAGCGACCGAAGCAGCGCTGCGTGGTGTGTGGGAGCCCACACACCTCCCCACTGCGAGCGCCGGTGCAAAGAACGAAGTGCAGGGACCTGCACTCCCAGACCTCCCACGCACAGCGTACCACTCACAAAGCTGCTGAACTTAAGGGGTCTCACGGGTGCGCAGCTGCTGCTGGCGCTGGCTGCCACCAGTGCCTCCACGCTGCGCGGCTGCACCTCGACCAGCACCACCGCCGCCTCCACCTCCACCACCGCTGCCACTGCCTCCACCACCTCCACCACCGACGCCACGACCTCCACCGTCGCCACTGAAGCCCCCACTCCCGGTACCACCCCCACCTCCACCGCCACCCGCTCCGCCTCCTCCACCGCCTCCGCCGCCGCCCCCGCTGTCCCCTCCACCACCCTTGCTACCCTTGCCCTTGCTGTTGCAGCGCCTCCCACTAGGAGCAGACGCAGCCCCGACCTCCTCAGTGCCAACGAGGTCGACAGCAGCAGTAGAAGCAACAGAGGGGAGAAGGGGGACAGGGGAACACCCCTCAAAGAAAGGGGTGCGACGGTCGCCGCGAGAAGCACCTACAGCTAAGATACTCTTCTCAGCTGCAGCGAGGCGCTCCTCTAGCAGGTCGACAGTGAGCTCGGTGGGGCAAAGGGAGAGAAAGTGGTCCCTGACTGAAGAGAGAGAGTCAGGGAGGCGGGTGACTAGGTAGTAAAGGGTGATGTACATGGGGGGGGGGTTCTTGGCACAGAACTCAGTGGGAAGGGCAGCGCGGTAGCGGGCGTCACTAGTGCGAAGGTGAGCAACTAGGTCAGCGACTGTGGCAAAGGCGGCAAGGTCAGGGAAAGGGTACGGCAGCATGAGGCGACTGAGGGCAGCAGTGGCAGGGGAGGAGTAGCGTGCAACTACAGCGTCGTACAGAGACTGAGCAGTCTTATGCTGGCCAAAGTGTGCGCGCTCAGCAGGCTGCAGGTGACTACGAACAGCAAGACGAGCAACAGCGTCACGAGTGGTCCACTGCGAGCAAACAGTACTGTCAGCAGTGGCAGTAGGAGCAGTGGAAACACCGGACGTGTGATCGAAAAGGGATACCCCATCCCTAGAATCACACTGAAGAAAGAGCTGTAGGTCATCAACCCATACGTCAAAGTCAACTGCACGTCACTGAGGCACTCGCCCACGTGAAGTCCGAGCTGCAGAAGAGACACACGTGCACAGACCTGGGTGAGCTGACAAGCTATCTTGGCTTGCGGATCACCCGGGACAGAGCACAGCGCACCATTATCTTGACTCAGTCACATATGGTGCAGCAGGTCGTTCAGCGCTTCGGCTTCACGTACTCCTCGCCACAGTCCACTCCTCTGCCTACTGGTCACTCGCTCTGAGCTCCACCTTCGGACGAGTCCGTAGAGCCGAGTGGCCCGTATCCAGAGCTTGTGGGCTGCCTCATGTACCTGATGACTTGCACACGACCTGACCTCGCATACCCTCTCAGCCTTCTGGCTTGCTACGTGGCTCCCGGCAGGCACCGAAAGGTGCACTGGGATGCTGCGAAGAGGGTGTTGCGATACTTGTTCAGTACATCGGGCATGGGGCTCGTGCTTGGAGGACGGGCTCGAGTTGTCCTCACTGGTCACGCAGACGCCTCCTGGGTTGACGACTTGGCTACGCAGCGGTCGTCACAGGGTTACACCTTCAGTCTTGGCTCCGGTTCTGTCTCTTGGCAGTCTACCCGCTCTTCTTCTGTTCTCAGCTCTAGTTGTGAAGCTGAGATCTACGCTGGAGCCATGGCTGCACAGGAGCTGCGCTGGCTCACCTACCTGCTGACCGACTTGGGAGAGGCGCCTCGTTCTCCTCCAGTTCTGTAAGTCGACAACAAGGCCATGCTGGCCTTGTGTCAGGAGCACAGACTGGAGCACAGAACGAAGCACATTGCTCTGCGCTACTTCCTTATTCGAGAGTTGCAGCAGCGTGGCCAGCTTCGTCTTGCTTACGTGGCCTCTCAGGCCAACACTGCTGATGTTTTCACCAAGGCACTTCAGCCTTGTGATCATCAGCGTTTCTGCACTGTTCTAGGCCTTATACCTACAGTGCCTCACTTGCTGACTTCTTGACTCTGCTTGTACTGTACTCTATATACTTATACCTGCATGCTTACACTTGCCAGGTTGTGTTCACTGTATTGTTTGCCTTCCTTTATATAACTCTGCATGTGAACTGGCCTTGTGGCCCTTTGCTTGTGCTCAGACTGCGTGGTGACTTTGTGATCCACCCTGAGCTTGCTTTGCCTTTCTTGACTGGTCTTGTGACCTCTTCTTCTCCCCCACTTTGCCTATGGGGGTGTGTCAAACTTATATATGCTATAGTCTGTTTAGGCTGTAGTGGGGTAGTTCTTAGGGGGTACAACACTTTTGTGTTTCCTACTTGTACCCATCTCCTTTCTAGTTTCACTCATTCCTCTCATGATTCTCACATAGCTGCCAGCGCATATTGTCAACATGCTGTTCTGGCGAATGGCAGAGGCATGCTGTGCACTGCGAGGTGCGCATGGCAGCAACGTATCATAGATTTGGGTGCGTTGTCATTGTTGACAGCTGTCTTTACAGCACGGTGTTGGAATTCGGTATCGTTATTACGTCAGTCCAGCGCGTGAACGGGGTACCTCACATGGGGCCACGCGAAGTAATGATTACGCACAGGGGGGGGGTTTTCGAAAGGAAACTTCGAGGAGCCTTCGTCCCGATACCCTCGCATTCAGGGTCCACCGAACGCATACTCTGCATAGACATAGTCCGCAAGTACACTTCTCTGAGTCTAGTTATAAGATTTCAGGGTTCGTTAAGTAACTTTTCTGATTGGATCAGAGTTCACAAGTTAAAAAAACTGAAATTGCAGGGCCCAGCAGTTGAGAAGCCTGTAATCACCCTGAAATCAGGGTAATTACCCTGATAAAATCAGCCCTGACTCCAGACAGTTACGAACCTGTTCCCGCCAGAATCTTCGCAAGTGTAGCTGCCCGATGCTTCTGCTCCGACGGTCCAGATGCTCCCTAACTGTACGTGAATCTTCGCGTCGTCCCGCCTTTTCGCCTTCGTACTCTCCATTGTGTTCCTTGGCTTGCTACTGGTAGGAGTGCACAGTGTTTTCACGATTCACTATTCGTAACAATCTTCAGAAAATCAAAACATAATATTATGATAAAAGAATTGATACTTCTAGATGAATAGAGGGGCATTAGAAGGATGAGAGTTGTTCGTAGATTAGGGGCATCAGGGCATACTAGATTCGTATATCAAAGAGATATTTACACTAATATTTCTTTAGTATTGTCAAGTGTTTTATAACAGATGGAGTATCTTGAGCCATCTCATATTGAAGATGCTTGAACCATAATCAGATTCTTCTCCACCATCCTTCACGCCATCCAACCAGCATCCGTCCCCATCCATTTCATCCATTCATCGCCGTGCCATCCCTCGCTGCTCTTCCATCCTTCTCCGCGGCCTCGCAGAGCGTCGCTGCGCGGCGGACCGGCTGCGCGTGCTCGCCACGCACCTCGCCCCCGCGCCGCTCACCTCACCCCTCGCCGGCCGCGCGGACGACGTCGATCGCGCGGACGCCGCCGGACGGGCGGACGCGTCGTCGCGGCGGTATCTGGTGACGGCTGGCGCGGCCGCCCTCGCAGCTTCCACTGCGGCTTCGTCGTTCGTCGCTGCTGGCGCTGAGGTGAGACGAGGGGCGCAGCAGCACTGCCACTGGCGGGCATCGAAGCGCGCAGCGGGCGACCGGCGATGAGATCAGGATTCGGTCTCTCTATCTCCCTGCCTCTCTTCCTGCCTGCCTGCTAGCCCGCCCGCCCGCCCGCCCGCCCGCCCGCCCGCCCGCCTGCCTACCTGCCTGCCTGCCTGATTCTGTAATGAGCGAGCGGGTCTGCAGGCCCGCCATCCTGCGCCTCTCACCCCCATTCCCATTCCGATCCCCATCCCCATCCCCATCCCCATCCCCATCCCATCCCCATCCCCATTCTCCATCACATTCGCCTCACCAGTTATCTTCCCTCCCACTCGTATCCCTGCCCCGCCTCACCCCGCTTCGCCCCACATGGCCCCTGTTTGCCCCGCCAGAGCTCGTCTGGTTCGGCGCACTGCGAGGCCGCTCCCAAGGCAGGCAAGTTGTCTACCATGCCACCCGCCTCTGCCATCCGCCTCCGCCATGCCACCCGCCTCCGCCATGCCACCCGCCTCCGCCATGCCACCCGCCTCCGCCATGCCACCCGCCTCCCCTGCCACCCGCCTCCGCCCTGCCGCCCGCCTCCGCCCTGCCGCCCGCCTCCGCCCTGCCACCCGCCTTGGCTTCTTCTGTGTGCACGCCCATTCATGGCACACGCTTCAGGGAATTCGTACATACGACAATTGCCAACTCTCATCCCACATGCCCGCACCTCCCTGCGCTTCACACCTTCTGTAACTTCTGTTTTTCCCGCTTTCGCATTTGCCTCTGAAGCTTCTCCGTCCTCCCTTCCCGTGGTGCTTCCCCAACCTCCCTCCATTCACCATCTTCCCCACGCCCCACGGGCTCACGCGGGTGCTGGGCGGCAGCGCTGAATCCACAACAGTTTGTGGCGTTCAGGGTGCAGCAGGTGCAGGAGATCAGCCACAACACCAAGATCTTCCGGTGCGTCTCTCTGTGCCTCTGTGCCCTGAGTGCACACAAGCCCGGGGGGGTGTCAGGCATGGAAAGAACGTTCCCTCGCACTGCTCCACCTCTCCTTTGTCCGCCTGTTCCTCCCTTATCGTGCCAGCTCGCCCCTTGCCGCACAATTGCTCGCTGCTTTTCCCGCATGTATCCTCTCTGCTCTTCGTCCCTTCCCTGCTCTGCTCTCGGTCTCCCTCACTCACCTCTCCCCACTCCTCGTCGCTTTCCCCCCTTGGCTGGCCAGCTTTGCCCTCGACCCCGACACGCGTCTCGGCCTCACAGTGGCGTCATGCCTCGTTACAAGGTGACTGCAAGAACACCTTTCAAGTATCTCCGAGTATCATATCTGTGTACATGGCATGCTAGCTGCGTTCTTACACCTGACATTGCTGTGCCTCCAATAATATGTGCTCTTTGTGCTCTTTGTGCTCTTTGTGCTCTTTGTGCTCTCTGTGCTCTCTGTGCTCTCTGTGCTCTCTGTGCTCTCTGTGCTCTCTGTGCTCTTTGTGCTCTTTGTGCTCTTTGTGCTCTCTGTGCTCTCTGTGCTCTCTGTGCTCTCTGTGCTCTCTGTGCTCGTGCGGCAATGCTACATTCACCCTCCCTCATGCTCATGCCCATCATCACGGCAGGGCGCCCATCGGGCCACCGGGGGACGACGGAAAGCCCAAAGCCGTCATCCGACCGTAAGACACCCTCCACTCCCCTCCACTCCCCTCCACTCCCTTCCACTCCCCTCCACTCCCCTCCACTCCTCTCCACTCCTCTCCACTCCCCTCCACGTCCCTCTCTATAATCTCCCTTCCATTTCCCTCTCTCCCCATCCTCCCTTCCTCTACCCTCGTGTCCTTTCTCTCCATTCCACTGCGCTCTCCGCACCCGCCCCTCCACCCCACAACCTCCTCGCACCCCACATGTGCATGGCTTCTCATCTCGTCCCTGTCTTTTCTTCCCTTGTTTCTGCTGTCACCATGCCACCATGCCACCATGCCACCATGCCACCATTTCTCCATGCCTTGATGCCATGGCATGCATGCGTGGCTGGTCGGTGGCACCATCATCAGGTACACGCCCATCACCCCACCGGACGTCATGGGGCACTTCGACCTGCTAGTCAAGGTGACCCCATCACCATGCCCTCTCGTGCCCTCACCCTGTGGGCGGTCCTGCAAGCCACAGGTTTGATTGCATCGCCCAAATCTGTACGCGAGCTGTCTGCCGGACGTGCCAGACCACCTCCAGCAGACTCGGGCACATCCAGCAGACTCGGGCACATCCAGCAGACGTTCAAGCCGTCCTTTTGAGGTGCCAAGTCGCTGTTTCGAGCCAGTGCTCATTCTCGATGGGTGTTAGGGGGGGAGGAAGGAGGGGGGGGCACAAGCAACGCGCACAAGCAAATGCGCTCGTCACCAAGACACTGACAGCCTTTGAGGCTGGGGCAGCCCCCACCGCCTTCCAGGGGGAGCCCCTTAGCACGGGGGACCTTCTGCTCGTGCTCGAGCTGCCATTGAGTGCTCTGCCTTACCTGCTTCCCGAGTTACTAGTGTGTGTGCGTGTGTGTGTGTGTGTGTATGTGTGTGTGTGCATGTGTGCGTGCGTGTGTGTGTTTGTGTGTGTGTGTGTGCGTGTGTGTGTGTGTGTGCGTGTGTGTTAGTGTATGTGTGTGTGTGTTTGTGTGTGTGTGTGACTGTGTGCCTGTATGTGTGTGTCTGTGTGTGTGTGTGTGTGTGACTGTGTGTCTGTGTGTGTGTGTCTGTGTTTGTGTGTCTGTGTGTGTGTGTCTGTGTGTGGGGGGCAAGTGTGTGTGCGTGTGGCAAGTGTGAGCATGTTCCTGCCGCCCATTCAACCCTGTGCCGCCCATTCTCCCTCTCCCGCAATGCCGCCTCTCGCCCTCGCTGCCCTCAGGTGTACCCCGACGGCAAGATGAGCCGCCACTTCTTCTCCCTCAAGCCAGGCGATGTGCTTGAAATGAAGGGGTGAGAGCACTTGGGCTTGAAATGAAGGGGTGAGAGCACTTGTACTTGAAATGAAGGGGTGGGAGCACTTGTGCTTGAAATGTAGGGGTAAGAGCAGTTGGGCTTGAAATGAAGGGGTGGAAGGAGGTGTGTTACATGCGAGTGAGGGCAGAGACAGTGGTGCTGGAATGAATGAAGAGCGAGGCAGTGACGTTGCTCTGCTCTCTAAGGATGGCCTCTCTAAGGATGGCCTCTCTTAGGATGGCCTCTCTGAGGATGGCCTCTCTTAGGATGGCCTCTCTTAGGATGGCCTCTCTTAGGATGGCCTCTCTTAGGATGGCCTCTCTTAGGATGGCCTCTCTTAGGATGGCCTCTCTTAGGATGGCCTCTCCTAGGATGGCCTATCTTAGGATGGCCTCTCTTAGGATGGCCTCTCTTAGGATGGCCTCTCATGTGCTTGCACTATGGCGTCTCCTCCCCTCCTCCATTCATCATTGCTAATCCTTTTTTCTTCTCGAACAGTAAGATGGTACAGGCAAAACCAGGTGTGTGTGTATGCGTGTCACATATTTCTCCCTCTCGTCCTCGCTTCCCCTTTCCTTCCCCGCTTGCCAATCGCCCATGCGTGCGTGTGCCTCCCCGTGCAGCCCCATTCCGAAGCTGCCCTATCAGCCCAACATGAAACGCAGCATTGGCATGGTGGGATGGGGACATGGGATACAATGTTTCACATAGCTCGGTGGATGGGGGGCATGGCGCAAGCATTGCATTTCAACACATAGCTTACTCGTTTTTCTAACAGAACACAAAAGTTGAGATGCTTCTGAAGTCTCCTGTCTCTCCCTCGCCCCCTCACCCCCTCCCTCCCCATCCCCACCCCACTTTCCTGCTCCCACCATTCCCTCTACCTGCATCCAGCCCTACAATGCTCTCTCCATCCCTCGTTTCTCTCCAACAATCCCCCTCGTCGTGCCTCCTGCCGGCCTCACACTCTGACCTCCCTAACTCTCAGGATACATTCGCATGGCTTGTCACACATCATGTCATTGCCCCTTACTCTTCAATTTGCGTCTTCAGAGCCTCATTTTGCCTGAAGCCCAAACCCATTTGGATCTTTGGAACCTGCACATCGTGTCGGGCCTGATGTTTGACACGAGATACGAATGTACCCCCACTCAACACTCACCACTCTGGCCTGCTGTTTCCCTATCCTCCTCTCCTCTCTCCGCCTCCCATCCCTCCCTCCCGCCCCTCTCCCCTCGACCTGTGGGCATGGCAGGTGGGGGGGGGAACGGGAATAACGCCCATGTTGCAGGTCATCGACGCCATCCTCTCCAACCCCACCGACCACACGCAGGCACGCGCTGTACCCTCGCCGCACGCGCTGTACCCTCGCCGCACGCGCTGTACCCTCGCCGCACGCGCTGTACCCTCGCCGCACGCGCTGTACCCTCGCCGCACGCGCTGTACCCTCGCCGCACGCGCTGTACCCTCGCCGCACGCACTGTACCCTCGCCGCACGCGCTGTATGATAGAATTGGATCTGAACTGATTGCTTGATAAGGAAGGCACTAGGCCTTAAGTACAAACAGGGTTGGGTTGAGCAAAGCTAGGGAAAGGATGGGATGGAAATCCTAGCAAATCTCCAATTGGTGAGTTGGCAGATTTGCAGGATTACGAGGGAATCCCAACCAGATAGGGTTGGGATTACAAATCTACACCCAACCTACAAAGTAACATAACCGATATAGAATATAGTACAAAGTGTTGACTGACTATTTCTAACACACCCCCTAGGCTGACAACACTTCAGCCACATGGCGGCCCAACACCCATGGACGAGAGGAGGCGGTAGTGGTCTTGGCGAACAAGAGACTTGGTAAACAAGTCAGCAAGGTTGCAGTCGGAGGCAATGTGTTCAGCCTTCAGCTGCTCGCGCTGCACCAGCTCACGAAGAAAGTAGTGACGGACCTCAATGTGCTTGGTGCGGCCGTGGAAGACGGGGTCCTTTGTGAGATGAATGGCGCTCTCGTTGTCACACCAAAGCGTTGGGGCTGGTTGAGGATACCCAAGTTCTGCCAGCAAGAAGGAGAGCCAACGGGCCTCTTGGGCAGCCATGGTCCCGGCATACAGCTCTGCCTCACAGGTCGACAGTGCGACGGAAGACGACCGAGTGGAGCGCCAACTGACAACCCCACTGCCAAGGGTAAAGGAATATCCTTGGGAAGAGCGCCGATCACTCTGGTCATCAGCATAGGACGAGTCACTGTACCCCTCAAGGCGAACAGGGGAAGAGCCGCCAAGAGTGAGCACATAGTCCTGTGTGCCTTTGAGATAGCGGAGGACCCGCTTGGCGGCAGACCAGTGGTGGCTCGTGAAGCGACCAGGTGCAACGTAGCGAGACAGGACACTGACTGGATAGGCCAAATCTGGTCGAGTGCACATCATCGCGTACATGAGGAAACCGACGAGCTCGGGGTAAGCCTCATCACAGGGCTCAGGTGAGGGAACAGAGGGTGCAGTGAGTTGGTGCTGCAGAGAGAGTGGGGTGGGCATTGAAGCTGCTTCCTGCATCTTAAACCTGGTCAGAACGTTGTTGATGTAGAACTTCTGCGAGAGGGTGATGGTGCGGGCCGTGCGATCACGTGTGATTTCCATGCCCAAATAGTTCGTCAGTTTCCCAAGATCCTTCATAGCCAGCTTCTCACCAAGTGCGGTTTTGACTGCTGCCAACTCAGTCTGATCCTTGGTGACAAGGATCATGTCATCGACATAAACCAAGATGAAGAAGCGGGATGGTGTTGCTCGGATGAAGAGGCTGGGGTCAGAGGTGGATGGGTGAAAGTCGATGGACCCTAAGGTGCTCTTGAGCTTGTTGTGCCATTCCCGGGGTGCTTGCTTGAGGCCATAGACTGGTCGATTCAGCTTCCATACAGTGCCTGGTGGAAAAGGAGCTGGAAATCCTTCGGGCCGCTCCATGTAGATTTCCTCTCGAAGGATCCCTTGCAGAAACGCAGAGGACACATCCATGCAGTCAACCTCCATGTCATCTCAAGCGGCAACATCGAGAAGGGTGTGCAGTGTGGGAGGTTTGGCGGTGGGAGAGAATGTCTCAAAGAAGTCCAGTCCATGCTTTTGGGTAAATCCCTTGGCACAGTACCGGGCTTTGAAGACGGGAAATTCGCCTGGAAGTTGTTTCACCCGGAAAACCCATTTTCCCTTCACAATGTTGACGCCGGAGGGAGGAGAGACATCTGTGAAAGTTCCTGTGTGAATGAAGGCCTCACACTCTGCGACAATGGCCCCTAGCCACTGAGCGGCGTGAGGACCAGAAACTGCTTCAGCATAGGTGAGAGGTGTGGGGATGGAGGGGTTGTCCGAGAAGTTGAGGGTGGGAGATTCTACGATATCTGGAAAGAGGGAGCAGAGTGCGTGTATGGCTGAGTCAATCTCAATCAACTCCTCATGTCTGTCCTCAAGAAGGGAGGGCATGAGCGAATAATCACCCCCGACAGGAGGAGGATTGAGAGAGACACGAATGGAAAGGGAAAAAGGCTTGGGAGCTTTGCGCGAGCGGGTGCGACCAACGATGGGGGAGGGAGGCGGAGCTGGAGGAGGAGAAGCAGCAGGTGTAGTGGCAGCATCAGGAACAGCAGCTGGATCAGGAGCAGGAGCTGGATCAGGAGGAGGAGCTGGATCAGGAGGAGGAGCAGCAGTAGGAGGACGGCGTTGGTAGGTTTTGAGAGGAATGGGCTCGGGGGCGGGAAGGAGCGGGGGAGACTGCGTGGTGCTGGAAGGGGAAGCGGATGACGGGGGGTCGGAAACTGTGGAGGGAGCGGGAAGAGGAGGAGATGGAGTGGTGGTAGGAGGAAGGCTGTCAAAGTCAGCCCAAGGAAGAGAAGGAGGCGGAGGAGAAGGAGAAACTTTGGAGGAGGGGTAGAACGGGTGGGATTCATCGAAGAAAACATCTCGGCTGCGATAAAGTTTGTTGGTGGTAGGATGGAGGAAGAGGTAGTCTGGCGAGTCCGAGTTGTGCCCGAGGTACACGCACGTGATTGTTTTCGGAGCAAGCTTGTCGCCAGCTGCACGACGGGCTTGGGAGTTGAGGAGAACATAGGAAGTGCACCCCCATACACGAAGAGGGCGGACGGACGGATTTTGACCCGTCCACAGCTCTGCGGGGGTGGTGTGGGTGTGGTGAGGATGAGGATGGAGATTGTGGAGGGCGGCAGCATGGAGCATGGCGTATCCCCAAAGAGAGGGAGGGGCGGAAGCATGAGTGAGGAGGCAGCGAGCAATCTGCACCAGGATGCGGTTTCGGCTCTCAGCAACACCGTTCTGTTGAGGGCTGTCTGGGAGGGTGAAGGTCTGACGAATACCCTCAGTAGAGCAGAAAGCTTTGAGAGTGTTGTTGCGGAATTCACCGCCACCGTCAGAGTGAAGAATCTTGATTTTGGTTTTGAAGTGTGAATGAGCCTGCCTTGCCCATTCCATGATAATGGCTGGGGCTTCAGACTTGGCGGTGAGAAGGTGAACGGACACATAGCGGGAATAGTCATCAACGACGACAAGGAAGTAGAAGTGTCCGCCACGGGAACGAACAGGAGCTGGACCCCAAAGGTCCATGTGTACGCGATCAAGAGGTGCGGTAGAGGTGGACTCAGTGGGAGGATGGGGCTGTTCCCGAAGCTTGCTCTGTGCACAGTCAAGGCAAGGTGGTCCAGAAAGAGAAGGGGGTTGTGGAAGTGAGGCGGGCAGCCCATGAAGGAGTTGTTTGGTGGCAAGGTCTGAAAGTGCGCGGAAGTTGATGTGGCCGAGGCGGTGATGAAATAGCATAGTCTTGTCATTGAGGAGGCGGCAGTGACATGAGGGGGAGTCTGAGGATGGAAGCGGAAGGTTGGTGAGGGAGCATGTTTGAACGGGAGGTACAACTAGTGTGTACAGGTTGTTGGAGTTGAGGGTGAAGCGGGCAAGATGGAGTCCGGTTTTGGCGTCAAACATGTCACAGTAGTCAACATCATTGGGAAAGATGGTGATCACGCCTGCGTGTTGGATTTCCCGCTGTGCAAGAAGGTTGTAGCGGAGGGTAGGGGCACAGATGCCAGTGATAGTGCCGGATGGGAAAGCTGGACAGGAAACTGTGGAGGACCCATGGCATTGGATGGAGAAGCTAGAATCGGCTCCAAGGAGTGAGGTGGGAGCCTGGTAGGGAATAAAGGCAGTTTGGTCTTTAAGCACTGTGTGGATGGCACCACTGTCTAGTATGAACTCAATTCCCTGTGTGGTTGAAACACCGATGTACTGCGACCCCTTTTCATTAATAAGACCAGCACCAGAGAAAAACAGGTTAAGGCGAACATCAGATGGGGCACTAGCAAATGCCTGAGCAGGTTCCTCCACTGCCTCGACCTGGTTCACGCGACGGGGTGGTGCCCAGTTGGGAGGGCGCTTGTCCTTGGAGACACCGTGGACGTCATACCACTCGTCATCTCGCTTCTTGAAGCAAGTTGCCTCAGGGTGGTTGGTGCCGTTGCATTTCTGCCCCGCACGTGGACCCTTCCTAATGAGGTACTGGCATGGGGGAAAGGAGTTGCGCCTCAGGCCCTGCTGGGAACGAAATGGGATGCCAGGGGAGTAGCGCACAACATTGACGGATGCCTGGGCTGCAAGGTCCTTTTCGGCAGAGAGAAGGGCCGAAGCGACTTTCTCGAAGGTGAGTTCCTTGGTGGGGAGCTGCTTGAGCATGGAACTGGTGACGTTGTAGGCCGGGGTGAGTCCGACGAGAAGCCCAGCAGCAGGTGCCTGTTCGGGGAAGGTGATCCCAATGTCCTTGAGCTCCTCATGGATGTTGCGGATTTCAGAGATGTAGTCTGCCATGCCCGGGCATTCCTCAAGGCGGATTTGGAACATGCGAGGAATGAGGATTGCAACTCCCACGGCAGTTTTGTCATGAAAGCGATCCTGGAGGTACTTCCAAATGTCATGCGCAGAGCGGAAGGTGCGGTAGGACTTGACTAACTCGACTGGGGTGGTGGTGATGAAAACCCTAATCACTGCCGCATCCGCCTGCTCCCAGAGACTGAAGTCCGTCTCATACTTGGTGGTTTTAGCATCGAAAGCAAGCTTGGCTGTGGCAGTGGCGCCTTCGCCGAGAGGATCGGGAGGGAGAGGCATCTTCCCCTTGCCGCGATTGAGGAGGATGTCCTTGAGGCAAATCCCCTTGAGCTCCGAGCCAAGGAGGTGCTTCTCCACTCCATAGCACCACTCCCCGAAATTGGTGCTTGTGCCGTTGGGAGCGAGGTTAAGGATGATGAGGTTTCCGACGAGAGTGGAAGTTGAAGTTGCCATTTCGCGCGGAGCGCAGCGCTAAAGTCTCCGATACGTAGCGGAGCGAAGCGGAGCGGAGTTCGGGTGATTTTGGAAATTGAGGAAGTTCGAAACGCGATTTTGGCAATAGAATGTCCGTACTATACCCTGATATACTGCTTCGCCAATGCCCCCTGTTCTGCTTCGCTGCTGCCCCTGTTCCGCTTCTCTGCTGCGCCGCTGACCTGTTCTGCTGCGCCGCTGACCTGTTCTGCTGCGCCGCTGGACCTGTTCTGCTGCGCCGCTGAACCTGTTCTGCTGCGCCGCTGAACCTGTTCCGCTGCGCCGCTGAACCTGTTCCGCTGCGCCGCTGAAAACCTGTTCCGCTGCGCCGCTGGACCTGTTCCACTGCGCCGCTGAAAACCTGTTCCGCTGCGCCGCTGGACCTGTTCCGCTGCGCCGCTGAAAACCTGTTCGAAGTTAAGAAGATGCGAAAATTGTCACGGAGATGTAAAAACCAGAAGCTTACGATGAAGGAAGTCGAAAGCTGAGAATGTCGCCGTTGAAAAACGAGATGCGCGATGAAGGAAGCCGAATGCGTGCTTGACCGGAGCGACGATGTGAAGTTTCTGAAAAACGCTAAGCGTAGGAGCCGGGAACCGAAATAGGCATAGCCTAAAAGGAGAGAACCATCGGGACGCCAAGGATCGGATTCCGCGTGAGCGGAATTTACTAGCTCTGATACCATGATAGAATTGGATCTGAACTGATTGCTTGATAAGGAAGGCACTAGGCCTTAAGTACAAACAGGGTTGGGTTGAGCAAAGCTAGGGAAAGGATGGGATGGGAATCCTAGCAAATCTCCAATTGGTGAGTTGGCAGATTTGCAGGATTACGAGGGAATCCCACCAGATAGGGTTGGGATTACAAATCTACACCCAACCTACAAAGTAACCTAACCGATATAGAATATAGTACAAAGTGTTGACTGACTATTTCTAACACTGTACCCTCGCCGCACGCGCTGTACCCTCGCCGCACGCGCTGTACCCTCGCCGCACGCGCTGTACCCTCGCCGCACGCGCTGTACCCTCGCCGCACGCGCTGTACCCTTGCCGCACGCGCTGTACCCTCGCCGCACGCGCTGTACCCTCGCCTCACATGTGGATTAGGCTGCTTTCGTGACTGCACATCCATCCTCACAGGTGTCGCTGGTGTTCGCCAACACCTCCCCGGCCGACACCCTCCTGGCTGATCAGCTCACAGCCCTCGCCGCCTCGCACCCCAACTTCAAGGCATGCTTCACCTCTCCCCTCCTTCACCTCTCCCCTCCTTCACCTCTCCCCTCCTTCACCTCTCCCCTCCTTCACCTCGCAGCCTTCACCTCTCCCCTCCTTCACCTCTCCCCTCCTTCACCTCTCCCCTCCTTCACCTCTCCCCTCCTTCACCTCTCCCCTCCTTCACCTCTCCCCTCCTTCACCTCTCCCCTCCTTCACCTCTCCCCTCCTTCACCTCTCCCCTCCTTCACCTCTCCCCTCCTTCACCTCTCCCCTCCTTCACCTCTCCCCTCCTTCACCTCTCCCCTCCTTCACCTCTCCCCTCCTTCACCTCTCCCCTCCTTCACCTCTCCCCTCCTTCACCTCTCCCCTCCTTCACCTCTCCCCTCCTTCACCTCTCCCCTCCTTCACCTCTCCCCTCCTTCACCTCTCCCCTCCTTCACCTCTCCCCTCCTTCACCTCTCCCCTCCTTCACCTCTCCCCTCCTTCACCTCTCCCCTCCTTCACCTCTCCCCTCCTTCACCTCTCCCCTCCTTCACCTCTCCCCTCCTTCACCTCTCCCCTCCTTCACCTCTCCCCTCCTTCACCTCTCCCCTCCTTCACCTCTCCCCTCCTTCACCTCTCCCCTCCTTCACCTCTCCCCTCCTTCACCTCTCCCCTCCTTCACCTCTCCCCTCCTTCACCTCTCCCCTCCTTCACCTCTCCCCTCCTTCACCTCTCCCCTCCTTCACCTCTCCCCTCCTTCACCTCTCCCCTCCTTCACCTCTCCCCTCCTTCACCTCTCCCCTCCTTCACCTCTCCCCTCCTTCACCTCTCCCCTCCTTCACCTCTCCCCTCCTTCACCTCTCCCCTCCTTCACCTCTCCCCTCCTTCACCTCTCCCCTCCTTCACCTCTCCCCTCCCCTCCTTCACCTCTCCCCTCCTTCACCTCTCCCCTCCTTCACCTCTCCCCTCCTTCACCTCTCCCCTCCTTCACCTCTCCCCTCCTTCACCTCTCCCCTCCTTCACCTCTCCCCTCCTTCACCTCTCCCCTCCTTCACCTCTCCCCTCCTTCACCTCTCCCCTCCTTCACCTCTCCCCTCCTTCACCTCTCCCCTCCTTCACCTCTCCCCTCCTTCACCTCTCCCCTCCTTCACCTCTCCCCTCCTTCACCTCTCCCCTCCTTCACCTCTCCCCTCCTTCACCTCTCCCCTCCTTCACCTCTCCCCTCCTTCACCTCTCCCCTCCTTCACCTCTCCCCTCCTTCACCTCTCCCCTCCTTCACCTCTCCCCTCCTTCACCTCTCCCCTCCTTCACCTCTCCCCTCCTTCACCTCTCCCCTCCTTCACCTCTCCCCTCCTTCACCTCTCCCCTCCTTCACCTCTCACCTCTCCCCTCCTTCACCTCTCCCCTCCTTCACCTCTCCCCTCCTTCACCTCTCCCCTCCTTCACCTCTCCCCTCCTTCACCTCTCCCCTCCTTCACCTCTCCCCTCCTTCACCTCTCTCCTCCTTCACCTCTCTCCTCCTTCACCTCTCTCCTCCTTCACCTCTCTCCTCCTTCACCTCTCTCCTCCTTCACCTCTCTCCTCCTTCACCTCTCTCCTCCTTCACCTCTCTCCTCCTTCACCTCTCTCCTCCTTCACCTCTCTCCTCCTTCACCTCTCTCCTCCTTCACCTCTCTCCTCCTTCACCTCTCTCCTCCTTCACCTCTCTCCTCCTTCACCTCTCTCCTCCTTCACCTCTCTCCTCCTTCACCTCTCTCCTCCTTCACCTCTCTCCTCCTTCACCTCTCTCCTCCTTCACCTCTCTCCTCCTTCACCTCTCTCCTCCTTCACCTCTCTCCTCCTTCACCTCTCTCCTCCTTCACCTCTCTCCTCCTTCACCTCTCTCCTCCTTCACCTCTCTCCTCCTTCACCTCTCTCCTCCTTCACCTCTCTCCTCCTTCACCTCTCTCCTCCTTCACCTCTCCCCTCCTTCACCTCTCTCCTCCTTCACCTCTCCCCTCCTTCACCTCTCTCCTCCTTCACCTCTCTCCTCCTTCACCTCTCTCCTCCTTCACCTCTCTCCTCCTTCACCTCTCTCCTCCTTCACCTCTCTCCTCCTTCACCTCTCTCCTCCTTCACCTCTCTCCTCCTTCACCTCTCTCCTCCTTCACCTCTCTCCTCCTTCACCTCTCTCCTCCTTCACCTCTCTCCTCCTTCACCTCTCTCCTCCTTCACCTCTCTCCTCCTTCACCTCTCTCCTCCTTCACCTCTCTCCTCCTTCACCTCTCTCCTCCTTCACCTCTCTCCTCCTTCACCTCTCTCCTCCTTCACCTCTCTCCTCCTTCACCTCTCTCCTCCTTCACCTCTCCCCTCCTTCACCTCTCTCCTCCTTCACCTCTCTCCTCCTTCACCTCTCTCCTCCTTCACCTCTCTCCTCCTTCACCTCTCCCCTCCTTCACCTCTCTCCTCCTTCACCTCTCTCCTCCTTCACCTCTCTCCTCCTTCACCTCTCTCCTCCTTCACCTCTCTCCTCCTTCACCTCTCTCCTCCTTCACCTCTCTCCTCCTTCACCTCTCTCCTCCTTCACCTCTCTCCTCCTTCACCTCTCCCCTCCTTCACCTCTCTCCTCCTTCACCTCTCTCCTCCTTCACCTCTCCCCTCCTTCACCTCTCTCCTCCTTCACCTCTCCCCTCCTTCACCTCTCTCCTCCTTCACCTCTCTCCTCCTTCACCTCTCTCCTCCTTCACCTCTCTCCTCCTTCACCTCTCTCCTCCTTCACCTCTCTCCTCCTTCACCTCTCTCCTGCTTCACCTCTCTCCTCCTTCACCTCTCTCCTCCTTCACCTCTCTCCTCCTTCACCTCTCTCCTCCTTCACCTCTCTCCTCCTTCACCTCTCTCCTCCTTCACCTCTCTCCTCCTTCACCTCTCTCCTCCTTCACCTCTCTCCTCCTTCACCTCTCCCCTCCTTCACCTCTCCCCTCCTTCACCTCTCCCCTCCTTCACCTCTCCCCTCCTTCACCTCTCCCCTCCCTCACCTCTCCCCTCCTTCACCTCTCCCCTCCTTCACCTCTCCCCTCCCTCACCTCTCGCCTCCTTCACCTTCCCCCACCATCACCTCCCCCACCATCACCTCTCCCCCACCCTCACCTTCCCCCGCCCTCACCTCTCCCCCACACTCACCTTCCCCCACCCTCGCCTTCTCCCACCCTCGCCTCTCTCCACCCACCTTCCCCCACCCACCTTCCCCACCCTCGCCTTCCTCCACACTCACCTTCCCCCACACCCACCTTCAACCACACTCACCTTCCCCCGCACTCACCTTCCCCCGCACTCACCCTCCCCCACCCTCACCTCTCCCCACCCTCGCCTTCCCCCACCCTCGCCTTCCCCCACCCTCGCCTTCCCCCACCCTCACCTCTCCCCACGCTCACCTTCCCCCACCCTCGCCTTCCCCCACCCTCGCCTTCCCCCACCCTCGCCTTCCCCCACCCTCGCCTTCCTCCACCCTTGCCTTCTCCCACCCTCGCCTTCCCCCACCCTCACCTCTCCCCACCCACCTTCCCCCACCCTCGCCTTCTCCCACCCTCGCCTTCCCCCACCCTCGCCTTCCCCCACCCTCACCTTCTCCCACCCTCGCCTTCTCCCACCCTCGCCTTCTCCCACCCTCGCCTTCTCCCACCCTCGCCTTCTCCCACCCTCGCCTTCTCCCACCCTCACCTCTCCCCACCCTCATCGTATCCCACTCGCTCGCTGAATTTCATCCCCATCTCCATTGCTGCCATCCCCTTCCGCTCCACACGCCTCTCCTCCCTCACGCCCTCACCACCGTCTCTACCCCGCCTTGCATCGCCTCTGTGCTGCGCCTTCAGCTCTTTCACCTCCAATGCACACCAAATTTGCACCTCACGTGCCCCCCACATCCCTCCCCATCGCGCCACACCCCGCCACGGGGAGCAGGTGTACTTCATGGTGGACCGCGCGGAGTCGGGGGCGGCATGGAAGGGCGGCGTGGGGTTCATCACGGCCGACGTGCTGCGGAAGGCACTGCCCCCACCATCCCCCGACTCCCTCGTGCTCGTGAGTGCCCTGCTGCATGGCATGGCACGCATGGCATGCATGACGTTGGATGGCATGGCATGACATCACATGGCATCGTATCACATCACATCACTTCACATCACATCACATCACATCACATCACATCACATCACATCACATCACATCACATCACATCACATCACATCACATTACATCACATCACATCACATCACATCCCATCATATCCCATGTGTGACGACACCTCACTCACCCCCATGTGTGACTTCACCTCACTCGCCCCGTGTGGCTGCGCCATGCATGGAGTGTGCAGGTGTGTGGGCCGCCCGGCATGATGAACCACGTGTCAGGCAACAAGGCACCCGACAAGTCGCAGGGGGAGGTGAGTCGCAGGGGGAGGGGAGGTGAGTCGCAGGGGGAGGTGAGTCGCAGGGGGAGGGGAGGTGAGTCGCAGGGGGAGGTGAGTCGCAGGGGGGGGTGAGTGGTAGGGGGAGGTGAGTGGCAGGGGGAGGTGAGTTGCAGGGGGAGGTGAGTCGCAGGGGGAGGTGAGTGGCAGTGGGAGGTGAGTGGCAGGGGGAGGTGAGTGGCAGGGGGAGGTGAGTGGCAGGGGGAGGTGAGTGGCAGGGGGAGGTGAGTGGGGGACAGCCATGGGGCAGCCGACACTGGAGGCTGTGTTACATGCCGGCATGCACGGTTGAGCAAATGTTACCTATGAATGTGCACTGAGGAGTGCCTTCCTGCGGTACTGTAATCGCCTGGATATAAGTACATCTGGTAACCGGTTGTTTGTCGCATGCGCTCATGCTCGCAGTAATGTGCCTGTATCCACTGACTACAAGCGCATTTGAAATTCGCGATCCCCTCCTGGAAAGCTTCGATGCACCGTCAGGTTTCGCAGTTTTCATGTTCTATGCATTCCTTGTCCGCTAGTACCTTCAATTCAAACATAAGTGCATGTGATTGCTCGGTAAGTGCGGCTTCTTGACTGGATGACGGAAGCAGTTTGATTGTCCTCTTTGCATTTGCTCCTAACTTCCCTGTGTCATCGCAGGTGGATGGCCTCTTGAAAACTCTTGGCTACACCAAGGACCAAGTTTACAAGTTTTGAGCCTCAGTACCACGCTGTAGTTTAAGTGTAACAAGAGTTATGGTACCATGGATAATAAATCGTTCTCTAGCAGGCTCAGATGCTGTTGTGCCCTGCACTTGAGTAGACAGCAAACTACAGCTATCTAATGCGCGAAGAAAGGACATCCAGCCAGGCCCTACGATATCAGGATTTTTTCCAGTGTTCAGCTTTTTGAGGGACTGATTTTTCAGCCTTTACGGGCCAGATGACTAAGAAGTTTCAGGTTTTTTTTTAAAGGGACACGGATTACACTACGATGTAACGAAACTGTCACTGGATACGATTCCTACACGTTCCGAGTGTAGTTGCCCGGAAGTACAGGGAATCTCAGATTCCCGCAGTGTCAGCACCGCCTGGCGGTGACTACTAGACAAATTTGCCCCGTGTTATTCGCTTTGAGGGCTGCTTTGTTGGCGCGCTTGGTCCGATCATTGGCCACTTTTGCAGCATTCTGTGGGTTGACCTATGACAAGGTTGCAACAGAGCGATGATGGCGGGCTGCGATGCGAGGGTTTCTGGCCCATTGCTTGCTGTGGTCCTGTGGCCCGTTTTGTCTAAGTCGTGCTGGCAAGCACTGATGCATCCATGCCGCCCAGCCGTGCTACCTGCCATTCAGGCTCCTGTCAAAATGTTATGATGCTTAAATTGTGTAGGCTGTAGTGGGGTAGCCCATTAGGGGTACAACCCAATTCGGGTTAGTACTTGTACCCAACTCTTTCATAGTTCATTCATTCAAGTTTGTTAGTTTTGACATGGTTTCAGAGCAGGTCCTTCCCTAGGACCAATTTTTTTTTAGGGCCCACCACAGAGCTGCCCCACTAGCTGCCCTGCCGCCCTACCCTACTGACGCGCCGCCCTGCTGGCCGCTGCACCGCCCCTAGCAGCTCATCGCGCCGCCCTTAAAAGCCCACGAGCCGCCCGTGCGGCCAGCGCGCTGCCCCTGCAGCCCGCTCGCCACCTACTTGTGGCCCGCGCACCGCCCCTGCAGCCCGCTCGCCGCCCGCCTGCGGCCCGCCCGCCGCCCCTAGGCCCGTTCGCCGCCCTTGCGACCCGCTCGCCGCCCTTGCGGCCCGCTCGCCGCCCTTGCGGCCCGCTCGCCGCCCTTGCGGCCAGCTCGCTGCCCCTACAGCCCGCTCGCTGCCCGCTTGCGGCTTGCTCGCCGTCCGTGCCGCCCGCTTGCCGCTTGCTCGCAACCCTTGCTGCTCGTGGCACTCCTCGCACTCCCTTCTTTGAGGGGTGTTCCCCCTCCCCCCTTGCCCCCTCCTATGGTTCTGCTGCTGCTGCTGACATCCTTGGTGCTGAGGATGTCAGGACTACTTCTGCTCTTAGTGGGAAGCGCCGCATCAGCAAAGGCAAGGGTGGCAAGAGTGGTGGCGGTGGCAGCGGGGGTGGTGGTGGTGGAGGCAGTGGAGGCAGTGGAGGTGGCGGAGGTGGTGGCAGTGGTGGGAGTGGTGGCGGGAGTGGGGTCTTTGGTGGCGGTAGCGGTGGAGGCTGTGGGGGTGGCGGTCGTGGCAGCGGTGGGAGTGGTGGCACTCGAGGTGGAGCTGTTCAAAGGAGAGGTTCTGGCGGTGGCCAGAGGCAGCAGCAGCAGCGTCAGAGCGAGACCCCTTCGCCCCAGCAGCTTCGTGAGTGGTTTGCTCAGCGTGGGGCGTCTGGGGGTCGTGTTAGCTGCCCGTATATCATTCGCACGGGTGACCGTGCTGGTCAGACATGCGGGAAGCCTCACACTCAGCACCGCTGCTTCTCCCGCCCAGACGACGCTTGGTGCGCAGAGTTTGGTGACGAGGCTGAGCGCCCCCGCTGGGCAGAGCTGCTTAGGTCTGGAGTTGCTATCTTTGATCTTGACTATGATGCTATCCTTGCTGCTATATATGCCTTGTCTGTTAGTGCTGAGGGTGACTGTTACCGGTGTGTGCCGCCTGACCCAGGTATAGAGGCTGCTGCTCTAGGTGCTAGTGAGTCTGCTCTCCCTGGTACTACGCCTGCTGAGGCCGTGCACGCCTTTATGCTTGACTCAGGTGCTTCCCGCTGTTCCTTTCGTGACAGCACCACCCTCACTCCTCTCTCTGCACCTGTTCCAGTCAGACTGGCTGACCCCTCAGGGGGCCCAGTTCTTGCACGTTCCTCCACTATTCTCCTGTGTCCGGCGGTTCCGTCCGGCTCACTCTCAGGTCTTCACCTCAATGTTTCTCTACGAACTTGGTGAGTACCTCTGCCCTCCAGGATGCGATGGTCACTACCACCACTCCTGGGGGTCAGCGTGTGTTGATCTGCACGTGTACACGGACGGGCCGTCACCTGGCCACGTTCACCCGTCGGCCTGGGTCGAGTCTGTACACACTGGCTACTGAGCCTCCTTAGGTAGCTGCGTCTGCCCATGTGTCCGCGTCAGGTCTGGTAGCACCCCCCTGTTCGTGTCGCCTCTTGTCGCACCAGACTCTCCAGTGGCACCACTGCCTTGGTCACCCCTCCCTGCCATGCCTTCGTGGCATGCATTCCCGCCTCCTTGTTTCTGGTCTTCCCAGGTCTCTGCCTCCCCTCCCGCCCTCGCCTGCCCCGCCCTGCCTTCCTTGCGTTGAGGGGTAGCAGCGCGCCGCTTCTCACTCCTCCTTGTTTCCCCCGACGACTGCTCCCCTGCAGAGTCTCCACATGGACGTGTCGGGCCCAGCCCGCGTCAGTGGACAGGACCGCGAGCGCTACTTTCTGCTGGTTGTTGATGACTACACGCGTTACACCATGGTCTTCCCCTTGCGCAGCAAGGGTGAGGTCCCTGATGTCTTGATCCCTTGGATCAGCGCAGTCCGTCTCCAGCTCCGCGAGCGGTTCCGCGAGGACCTTCGTGTCCTGCGCCTGCACTCTGACAGAGGTGGTGAGCTCTCCTCCAACCTCTTAGGGGAATTTTGTCGTGGGGAGGGCATCCTCCAGTCGTTCACGCTTCCGGCCTCCCCGCAGCAAAATGGGGTTGCTGAGCGCCGCATTGGCTTATTCATGGAGGTGGCTCGTACCTCCATGACCCATGCGGCTGATCCCCATTTTCTGTGGCCGTTTGCGGTCTGTTACGCTGCACATCAGCTCAGCCTCTGGCCCCGTGTCTCCTTGCCGGAGACCTCGTTTACACTGCATTGGATGGGGAAGGTTGGCGATGCGTCGGTGTTCTGGGTTTGGGGCTCTCGTGCCTTTGTTTGTGATACGTCCGCGGACAAGCTCTCCGCCCGCGCTATTCCCTGCGTCATCCTTGGCTTCCCCCCTGATGCGCTTGGCTGGCAGTTTTACCACCCCACCTTGCGCCGTGTCCACCCCTCTCAGGACGTCACGTTTGATGAGTCGGTTCCCTTTTACCGTCTCTTCCCCTACCGCTCTGCCCCTCTCCCACCCCCGCCGCTCTTCCTTGCTCCAGGTCCCCCTCCGGTAGACCCCCTTCCCCCTCAGGGTCCTGCTCCCTCAGGTGTGTCTCAGGTAGACCCACTCGGCGGGACTGTGCCTGTCGAGTTCGCTGTAGACTCAGGTGCTGCTAGAGGTGCTGCGTCTGGGGGTGATGCGTCTGGGAGTGCTGCGTCTAGGGGTGCTGAGCCTGCGCGTGCGGAGCCTGGGGGTGCGGAGCCTGGGGGTACTGAGCCTGCGGGTGCGAAGCCTGGGGGTGCTGAGCCTGAGGGTGCGGAGCCTGGGGTTGCTGAGTCTGAGGGTGCGGAGTCTGAGGTTTCTGAGCCTAGGGGTACCGCTTCTTCTGGAGGTCCTGCGGGTGCCTCGCCACGACAAACTCCCCTGCCGGGGCCTCTCTCCCCGCAGCAGCTGCGCGAGTGGTTTGCTCAGCGCACACGCCTTCGGAGTGGAGCTACCGGAGCTGGAGGCTCTGCCGCTGGAGGCACTGGAGCTGGAGGTGCTGGAGCTACTAGTCTTGGAGGTGCTGGAGTTCCTGTTGGAGCTGGAGGTACCGGAGGTGCTGGAGCTGCTAGTCCTGGAGGTGCTCGTACTAGGGTACTGGAGCTGCCAGGGCTGGTGGTGTTGGAGGCGCTGGAGCTGGAGGATCTAGAGCTGGAGACCCCGGTGCTGGAGGCGCTGGAGCCAGAGGCACTGGAGCTGGAGGAGCTGGAGCTGGAGACCCTGAAGGCACTGGCGCTAGGGGCGCTGGAGCTAGAGGCGCTGGAGCTGTTGACCCTGGAGCTGGAGGTGCAGGCGCTGGGGGTGCTGTGTCTGGCGGTACTGGTGCTGGAGGCACTGTGCAGCGGCGCTCGTTTTTTGTTCCGCCGCCACTGTCGTCTTTGCCGCCACCTTACTCGGTCCTTCGCCAGGTTCTTAGTCTCCCATCTTCTACTGGCCTTCCTCCTAGATTTCTGAGTCCACCGCCGCGCTAGTCGCAGCCACAGTTACAGCCAGACTCCCCACTGCCTGCTCCTTCTCCTTACGCTGAGCAGACAGACTCACCTTCAGAGCGTCGTGAGCCTACGTCTCGTCCTGCCTCGCCTGCTCGTGCTGTTTGCACTAGTCGTTGGGTTCCTCGTCCGGTCCTCCTCCTGTCCTTGGCTCTCACGTTATGTCAATTTGTCCTTCCTCTTCCACTGCGCGTTCCTCTGCCGCCTCCTCCCGAGTCCTCTCTTCTTGCCATTCTTGGACCCTGAGTCTGACCTAGCTCGTGCTGCAAGTCCAACTGTCTCTCGTCTTCTCGCCACTGTTGTCACTGACCCTTCTTTTGAGTCCACTGCTGCGTCTGCCCTAGTTTCTGAGCTTGTTCACTTTGCTGCTGCCTGTCATCTCGACTACGCCCACTAGTCTTGTTGCTGAGTCCGAGTGTGACTATCCTCCGTCCGTCAGGGGTGAGTGTGCTCTTGGCACAGACGTCCTTGAGGACAGGCAGGAGGACTTTGAGTGCCTTGCAGCTGCTGTAGCTCATCTTATGGCCATGCTGCTTGAACCTGAGGGAGACCCGGATGCACCAGACATCCCGACCCTGCGCTCTTACGCAGAGGCGATTACGGGTACCT